TATTTTCGTTTTTACATTACATTCAACAACCCATATTCTTGTCTTAGCTTAGTTTCATTCATTAAGGTTTTCAGTGTGACAGTTGGTCCTTGTGGATTCGATCCCTACTTTACTACAATATTTATTGTGCACTTGCAGTAGTTCTATAGGGTTAAAACTCTGTGTATCAAGTTTTTGGCGCCGTTGCCGGGGACCAATTGTGTTGCCTACAAGTCTAGGTTTGAAGTTTAGTCTAAGACACTAACTTTCACTAACTTTTTCTTTTTGTATTTGGTTTGTTTTATAGGTGATGGCCATGGATTACAATGATTGGTCAGAAGAAGAAGATGCCACATTTGATGAATACATTGAAGATGAACCATATGTGAAGCCACCACTTGATGAAAGTGTTCTCACAATAGAACAAAGAGTCGAGTTGGATGATCTTTACAAAGAAAATCCAACATTAACAAGGAGTGATCTAGCAATTATGATCCGATTGAACCGTATGTCACACCGAGCAACACTTGAAGGAAGGAACATGACCTACAATGAGATAGAGATAGCTCATGAACTTAGAGAGGTAATATATTGGGTTCCACCAAACCCAATACAAGGTACACCATTCTCAACATTTGAATCTCATGATGATGACATGTCTTGCATTAAAGACATAGCTTCTAGTTTTCACACTTCCCTGCTCATTGATGAATGCTATGATTTAATATGTGAGTCTGAAAAACTAGATACTTTAAGAATAGAAAATATTGCTAGAGATTATCATGAAGTGTGCTTTGATATTAGTTATCTATGTGCTCTGAATGTTCATGATCTTGAGTTTAATCTTTCAATGCTTGAGGAATCTAAATCTCTTTTTGAAGGGGATGTGTTTGATAATGATAAGATCTTGAATGAGGTAGGGAACCCTAAGATTAATATAGATTCCAAGGAGGAGAATATTGTGTTCTACCTGATTGATGGAGATGAAGTTGACTACTTTATGATAAACTCATTTAAACCTGAAGTTGACTTCATCTTTCCACCAAATGCATTTGATCCTCCTGAGCATCTAACATTTACAGAAGAGTAAAATATATATGCAACATTTGTAGTAGTCTTCCTTCGTGAGAGTTTTATCTCTTTATCATGGATGATTGCTTGCCATTTTGCACACTTTGTTTCTTGCCAAAACAGGAGAAGGACCAAAGGTGCACTAGCTCAGCCTTTTGATTCTCATGATTAACATATGTGCTCAAAAGTCAAGCTATTGTCTTAAAACAAGCGCTTGGTGGGAGGCAACCCAATGGTAAGTGTATATATTTCGTTCTATCTTTATTTTCTAACTTTTAGTTTTAGTTCTAAGTGATTCAAAAAAAAAAAAAAAAAAAAAAAAAAAAAAAAAACGCCCATAACCACCACACTCACCTCCCTTTCAGCCATGGTAAGTTTTCTCATCCCTTACCTAGTTCTTCATCCTTACCATCCTCTTTTTGCTTTCTTCTCACTGAGCACAGTGTGATTCAAGTATGGGAGAGGATGTTCATCCCTAACTAACACCATTTTTCTATGTTTTGTCTTCTCTTGAGTCAGTCCTAGATGTTTTATTGAATCAAAATTATGTTGAATGTCATGAATTTTTCTTTTAAACTAACTACTTCACATTGACATTTGAAGGACCATTGCTACAACAGTTAGCAGATTCTGCTAAGTAGAACGCTAAGAGTGGATCATCATAACAGAGAAAGTTCATGTTTCTGGAGAGTCTGAAGGATCCAACGTTGACTCCGCCCTAATGAATTCCAATGAATTTCGAAATTCTCATTTGCAGAACTATACAGGAACGTCCGAAGTTTGGCATATTTTGAGGTACTTCCCACCGATGGATCGAGCTGAAATTTGGACTCAAGCTGTATCTTTGAGTTAGCTTTCATGTGGAAGTTGTTTGAAGTCAATCCAACGGTGCGATCAACAGTTATGCCAGTTTTAGTGAAAGCAGTCTAGTCTGGCACGCGCAGAAGGCCGAAGAACTTCCCGAGAGAAATTAGATCGATCGATCTAGATTTGGATCGATCGATCCGAAGTTCAAAAATTACCCGAGACATTTTAGATCGATCGGGATCGATCGATCCGAGAGGCTATGGATTTCCCGAGAGGATTTAGATCGATCGATCCAAGTCCGGATCGATCGTTCAGGGGTCTTATCCAGCCTGTTTGGTCGCGCAAAAATAAGGAAACTTCGGGTTTTTCCTATTCCAACTTGGTTTTCGATAATTTCTCACCCAATTCGTTCCTAGACCTATAAATACTTGTTTCTCAGCCATTGTTTAGGCAACCCTCTTCTTTTACATTCATACTTTTAGGTTTTGTGCTTTGTAAGCTTGGGGAGAAGAATCTCTACATCTTTTAAGAAGATTTATGAACCCCTTTGGATTTCTTTTTTATTGATTATGAATTTCTCATCTTCTCCTTGCTGTTTCCCTGCTTCCATGTCTGAGTAGTTTTATGGTTAGGTCTAGGGCTTTCAAAGGATTCATGAATCAATGAACTACACATAAATAAGGTTATTCATCTGCTGTCTTCACCTATTGTTGTTCTCATTGCTTAGATTAATTTGATCACTTAATCTCTGATTTAGGGTTTAATCTGTTCATAAAAGTGTTTTAGATTGCTTGATAGAACATAGGTGAGCAGATTGTCCTTAGCCAACGAAAGCTGATGTTAAGGCAATCTGTGAACAAATCGAACCTGTTCATTAATGCTTGTTTAGAATTTTAAGACATGATAAAATAAGAACTACAAGAATTGAAAACCAAACAATTGTCTTCATTTCTTTAGTTTGAAATTCAATAATATGGAGTTTTTCTTGTCATTTGTCTAAGTTTTTGCAGTGACAATTACAAAGCTTAATAGTGTCATATTTATATACTTATCAACTTATGTTACACAAAACTAATGTTCTAATCAATGGTTTCAGTGTGATAAATGAACTTTAAAAAACTGTTTTTTTATAAAAAAAAATAGTTTTTGTATTTAAATATTTAAAACGTGTTATAAGTTACTAATTAACACTTTAATTAAGATAAAAAAATGATTATCTCATTCACGTACAATCAATACTTGTTTTAAAAAACTGTTAATTTATAAAATCTAAAATGATATCAGTAGGTATACGATTTATGAGTTACCAATGCTATAAGTATTTTTTATCAATCTATTCGTATTTTAACACATAAGTAATAGCTCTAAAGACACAAATACAAATTTGATATGTTGATATCTATCTACATAAACTATTTTTTTATCGCTTTCTCTCTCATTCTTTATATATATCTTTATCAAGGAAATTGTTTCCGTACCTCACAACTCTTTGTTTATAAAATAAATAATATGATCATAGTTTTTATGTAAACAATAAATGCAGTTTTAATGTGAAGCTATAAAAATGCTTATAAATGATTTAGAAAAACTAAAACTCCAAATTGTAATCTATATAGGAGGGAAAATTTGTCAAATAGTAATAAACGTAAATCAATATACTTCATGCTCATAAAAATTTGAATACTAATTTGGAAAAGCAGAAAAATAAATCCATAATAACTACACCTACTATGAGTAAATCTATTTGTGAATTGGAACTTATGAACAATAAAAGTCAAAACTCCAATAAAGAACATTTTGGGTCTGTGAACATTTTGGGCAGTAAATATTAGTATCTCTAGCATCAACTTATAATACAAACTAATATAATATACTCATTATTTCATTTAGTATATAAAGAATATTATTATATAAATATATATAATACTATGGAACATTTTATCAAAATCTATCGGCACAGCCACACGATTACAAACACGCAGAATTACGATCCCCACTACGTGTATATGATGTAGAACTGCACCAGAGACAATACATCACCTATTTTTCTACTGTCCTACCTCCATATCAACATGGCGGCGATCTCAAAATCCTTTTAATTTTCTTACCATCCTACAGGCGATACGGAATATATCATACGGCTCCTTCTTGATGCACAAACAACTGCTGGTATTCCTGAAACAGATAAACTACTTCCCTTCTGGCTACTTTGGAGAATATGGAAATCTTGCAATGATTTAATCTTCCAACATAAGCAGATCTCGATTGGCAAGGACGTCAATAAATCTTTAGCTGATGTTACAGAGTGGAACAAAACTACGACTGATGCACCAGTAATAAATGCAACTGCTCCGCTCATGCAAAGTCCTTGGGAAAGACCAAGACCTGGTTATCTAAAATGCAACTACGACGCCGCATTTGACCCTCACACATGAATCTCCAAAGGTGGATGGATCATACGAGACGAAAATGGCTATACAAAATACTGGGGAGCACTTAATTTGGTATCAACAACTTCGTGCCTTGAAGCAGAAGCAAAAGGACTACTCACAGCTATTCAACAATCCTGGAGCATGGGTTTTGACTTCATTAACTTCGAAGGGGACTGCCAGACCTTGGTTAATTTACTAAAAACTAGCGATCAAGACATAAGCATAGCTAATCTACTTGATGATATCAAAAACTGGTTAACCAAGTTCCATTTTTATGACATTTCTCATGTTAAAAGAGTTTCTAATAAGGTAGCACATAGTTTAGTGAAACAAGGTCCCCTAAATGGCCTATTTTATGTAGGAACTACCTATCCACCATGTTGGATAAGAACCTATTTGTATCATGACTATATCAGTTCTATAAAAATCTACCTTTGTTGTTCAAAAAAACTATATATATATATATATATATATATATATATATATTTAATAAAATACAGATATAAGTTAAAAATTGGAATTCCATTGTGGAAATGAGCCAATTAAATATTTTTAGAAGTGTAATGAAAAGAGTTCATAATATTTGTAAAATTAGTCTGTTTTCTTAAGCTAACTAATTTAAAAACATTTATATGTACAATAAATGCAGAAAGAACGTATGAACTATTTTGTATGGTAAATAAAGAAACTAAAAACCAAATGACCAACATTAAATAAATATTACTTTAATTATTATTTTTATTTTATTGTTATTTAGTTCCAAAAAACTCCTTTCCTCTAGGCATAATTTCTCCACAATAACAAAGAAAATTTGCACAACTACGTGAAAATCTACACTTTCTCAAACAATGATATACACATTCTTGACAAAAACCAATTATGTTGCCAGCGGATGCAAGTTTAAGATGTTCAATTGGAGGGCTTGATGCTGGATTGGAAGAGTACATTTTATCTTCGGACAAATATTTTTCCATACACACATCTATTAAAATAATAAAATGAGGAAATAAATTATAAGATAGAAAATTAATATTTCAAGGCTATAGAATATTTTACATATCATTTATATTATACAAAATTAAACATACATGATAAAATAAGCACTACAAGAGTTGAAAACAAAACAATTGTCCTCAGTTTTTTAAATTGAAATTCAATAATATGGAGTTTTTGTTGTTATTTACTTGAGTTTTTGCAGTGAAAATTACAAAGCTTAATAGTGTCATATTTATATACTTATCCACTTATATTACACAATACTAATGTTCTAATCAATGCTTTCAGTGTGATAAATTAACTTTAAAAAAACTGTTATCTTATAAATTATAGTTTTGTATTTAAATATTTAAAAGGTGTTAAAAGTTAGTAATTAACACTTTAAGATAAAAAGGATTATCTCATTAATGTATAATCAATATTTGTTTTAGAAAACTGTTAAGTTATAAAATCTAAAATGAGATCCTTAGGTATAAGATTTTTAGTTACCAAAGCTACAAGTATTTTTTATCAATCTATTCATATTTTAACACATAAGTAATATTTTAAAGACACACATACAAATGTAATATGATAATATCTATCTACATAAACTATTTATTTTTTATCTCTTTCCCTCTCATTCTTAATATATATATATATATATATATACATTTTGATCAAGGAAATTTTCTGTACCAAACAACTCTTTAATCATAAAATAATTAATATGATCATAGTTTTTTTATAAACAATAAATGATGTTTTGATGCGAAGCTATAACTATGCATATAAATAAAAATTAGGAAAACAAAAACTTCAAACTGTAATCTATATAGAAAGGAAAATTTGTCTGATTAGTAATAAACATAAATTAATATACTTCATGCTCATAAAATTTTAAATACTCATTTGGAAAAGCAGATAAATAAATCCATAATAACTACACTTACTATGTGTAAATCTATTTGTGAATTGAAATTTATGAACAAAAAAGTCAAAACTCCAATAAAGAACATAAACCTTTTATTATATATCTCCATTTTTCTTTTACAATATTTTTTTTAATCCAGTGGAAACTGAAAGATTATAATATGTTTTACGAATTGAATCTTTTTTTTTTAGTAAAAAACTATTAAGTTTTTTTATACTATTTATATATCTTGTTTTAAAATTCAAATTCTCAACATTTATATTGATCATTTTAACCCAAAACATATATATTCGATTTCTTTTAACTTTGGATATCACATATATATGTAGATCGCACACTCGTTTGATAGTAGGTGATTTAGTACAAGAAGTTCGGAAGATTTATTGACATTTATTGCAACCTATCACACAAACTATACCCATATTTTCTCATTAGTCACTTTGTGCAAGATATAACTTTATTAAATATTAATCATGTTAAAACTTTGTAAGCTTAAATGCACTTTACTGTGGCTTTCTCAGAATAAATTGTGTAAATAAATAACTACCTTATAAATTTCAAAAATGTTTTTTTATAATTTCATTAGAGAGAAATAAAATTTGTATTTTTTTAATAACACAATATTTTGGGCAGTAAATAATAGTATCTCTCGCATCAATTTATAATACAAACTAATAAAAATATACTCATTATTTCATTTAGTATATAAAGAATATTATATATATATATAATACTATGGAACATTTTATCTAAATCCATCGGCACAGTTACACGATTACAAACACGCGGAATTACGATCCCCACTACGTGTATACGATGTGGAACTGCACCAGAGACAATACATCACCTATTTTTCTACTGTCCTACCTCCATATCAACATGGCGGCGATCTCAAACTCCTTTCAACTTTCTTACCATCCCTACAGGCGATACGAAAGATATCATACGGCTCCTTCTTGAGGCACAAACAACTGCTGGTATTCCTGAAACAGATAAATTACTTCCCTTCTGGCTACTTTGGAGAATATGGAAATCTTGCAATGATTTAATCTTCCAACATAAGCAGATCTTGATTGGCAACGACGTCAATAAATCTTTAGCTCATGTTACAGAGTGGATCAAAACTACGATTGATGCACCAGTAATAAATGCAACTGCTCCGCTCGTGCAAAGTCCTTGGGAAAGTCCAAGACCTGGTTATCCAAAAAGCAACTACAACGCCGTGTTTGGCCCTCACACATGAATCTCCAAAGGTGGATGGATCATACGAGATGCAAATGGCTATACAAAATATTGGGGAGCACTTAATTTGGAATCAACAACTTCGTGCCTCGAAGCAGAAGCAAAAGGATTACTCACAGCTATTCAACAATCCTGGAGCTTGGGTTTTGACTTCATTAACTTCGAATGGGACTGCCAGATCTTGGTTAATTTACTAAAAACTAATGATCAAGACATAAGCATAGCTAATCTACTTGATGATATCAAAAACTGGTTAACCAAGTTCCATTTTTATGACATTTCTTATGTTAAAAGAGTTTGTAATAAGGTAGCAAATAGTTTAGCGAAACAAGGTCCCCGAAATGGCCTATTTTATACAGGAACTACCTATCCACCATGTTAGATAAGAACCTATTTTTATCATGACTATATCAGTTCTATATAAATCAAACTTTGCTGTTAAAAAAACTATATATATATATATATAATAAAATATAGATATAAGTTAAAAATTGGAATTCCATTGTGGAAATGAGCCAATTAAATATTTTTAGAAGTGTAATGAAAAGAGTTCATAATATTTGTAAAATTAGTCTGTTTTCTTATGCTAACTAATTTTGAAACATTTGTATGTACAATAGATACACAAAGAAGGTATGAACTATTTTGTATGATAAATAAGGAAACTAAAATACAAATGACCAATATTAAATAAATATTACTTTAATTACTATTTTTATTTTATTGTTATTTAGTTCCAAAAAACCCCTTCCCTCTAGGCATAGTTTCTCCACAATAACAAATAAAATTTGCACAAGTATGTGTAAATCTATCCATTCTCAAACAATGATATACACATTCTTGACAAAAACCAATTATGTTGTCAGCGGATGCAAAATTAAGATGTTCAATTGGAGGGCTTGATGGATTGGATGAGTACATTTTATCTTCGGACAAATATTTTCCTATATTAAACTAATAAAATACGAAATTAAATTATAAGATAGAAAATTTATATTTCAAGGCTATTGAATATTTTACATATCATTTACATTATACAAAATTAAACATACATGATAAAATAAGCACTACAAGAATTGAAAACAAGACAATTGTCTTCATTTTTTTAATTGAAATTCAATAATATGGATTTTTTGTTGTTATATACTTGAGTTTTTGCAGTGAAAATTACAAAGCTTAATAGTGTCATATTTATATACTTATCCACTTATATTACACAATACTAATGTTCTAATCAATGCTTTCAGTGTGATAAATGAACTTTAAAAAAAGTTTTATCTTATAAATTATAGTTTTGTATTTAAATATTTAAAATGTGCTAAAAGTTAGTAATTAACACTTTAAGATAAAAAAGATTTTCTCATTAATGTAGAATCAATATTTGTTTTAGAAAACTGTTAAGTTATAAAATCTAAAATGAGATCATTAGGTATAAGAGCTTTAGTTACCAAATCAACAAGTACTTTTTATCAATCTATTCATATTTTAACACATAAGTAATAGTTCTAAAGACACACATAAAAATTTGATATGTTAATATCTATCTACATAAACTATTTATTTTTTATCTCTTTCCCTCTCATTCTTAATATATATGTATATATATATATATTTTGCTCATGGAAATTTTTTCTGTACCTAACAACTCTTTAATCATAAAATAATTAATATGATCAAAGTTTTTAATAAACAATAAATGATGTTTTAATGTGAAGCTATAACGATGCATATAAATGAAAATTAGGAAAAGTAAAACTCCAAACGGTAATCTATATAGGAAGAGAAATTTGTCTGAGTAGTAATAAACATAAATTAATATACTTCATGCTCATAAAATTTTGAATACTCATTTGGAAAAACCAAAAATTGAATCCATAATAATTACACCTACTACATGTAAATCTATTTGTGAATTAAAATTTTTGAACAAAAAAAGTCTAAACTTCAATAAAAAACTTAAACCTTTTATTATATACCTCCATTTTATTTTACAATATTGTTTTTAAACAAGTGGAAATCCAATGTTCATAACATGTTTTACGAATTGAATCTTTTTTTCTATTGAAAAACTATTAAGTTTTTTTATACTATTAATATATCTTGTTTTCAAATTCCCATTCTTAACATTTATATTGATCAATTTAACCCAAAAAATATATATTCGATTTCCTTTTACTTTGGATATCACATATATATGTAGATCGCACACTCGTCTGAGAGTAGGTGATTTAATACAAGAAGTTCAGAAGATTTTTTAACATTTATTGCAACATATCACACAAATTTTACCCATGTTTTTTCATTTGCCACTTTGTGCAAGTTATAACTTTCATAAATATTAATCATGTTAAAACTTTGCGAGTTTAAACGCGTTTTACTGTGGTGCTCTCAGAATAAATTTTGTAAATAAATAACTAACTTATAATTTTTATAAATTTCAAAATTGTTTTATTATAATTTGATTAGAGAGAAATAAAATTTGTATTTTTGTTTTAATAACACGTCATTTTGGGCAGTAAAGAATAGTATCTCTCGCATGAATTTATAATGCAAACAAACAGAAATATACGCATTCATTTAGTAGTTAAAAATTGGAATTCAGTTGTCAAAGTGAGCCAATTAATTTTTTTTTGAAGTGTAATGAAGAGAGTATATATTATTTGTACAATTAGTCTGTTTTCTTATGCAAACTAATTTTGAAACGTATGTATGTCCAATACATACGTAAAGAACGTATGAACTATTTTGTATGGTAAATAAAGAAACTAAAACACAAATGACTAATATTAAATAAATATTATTTTAAATATTATTATTTTTTATTTAGTTCCAAAAAACCCCTTCTCTCTAGGCATAATTTGTACACAACAACAAAGAAAATTTGCACAACTACGTGTAAATCTATCTTTTCTCAAACAGTGATATACACATTCTGAAAAAAACCAATTATGTCGTCAGCGGACGCAAGTTTAAGATGTTCAATTAGAGGGCTTGATGCTATATTGGAAGAGTATATTTTATCTTCGGACAAAGAGTTTCCCATACACATACCTATTAAAATAATAAAATAATAAAATATATTATAAAATAGAAAATTAATATTTCAAGGCTATTAAATATTTTACATATCATTTATATCATGCAAAATTAAAAATAGATGATAAAACCAAACAATTGAAAACCAAACAATTGTCTTCATTTCTATAAATTGAAATTCAATAATATGTATTTTTTGTTGTTATTTGTGTGAGTTGTTGCAGTGTAAATTACAAAGCTTAATAGTGTCATATTTATATACTTATCCACTTATGCTACACAAAACTAATGTTCTAATCAATGCTTTCAGTGTGATAAATGAACTTTAAAAAACTGTTCTCTTATAAATAATAATTTTTGTATTTAAGTATTTAAAAGGTGTTATAAGTTACTAATTAACACTTTAAGATAAAAATGATTATCTCATTAAAGTATAATTAATATTTGTTTTAGAAAACTGTTAAGTTTATAAAATATAAAATTAGATCATTAGGTATAATATTTTTGAGTTACTAATGCTATAAGTATTTTTTATCAATCTATTCATATTTTAACACATAAGTAATAGTTCTAAAGACACAAATACAAATTTGATATGTTAATATCTATCTACATAAACTAATTTTTTTTATCTCTTTATATCTCATTCTTAATATATGTATACATTTTAATCAAGGAAATTTTTTCTGTACCTAACAAC